GAGTAGTGGTAAATAAGTGTGTAAACTTGGTTTGTTGATATACTTGAAAAAAACACAACTATTAGTAAAAACTGTACATACTAAAGTGGGCAAAATTTGTATAACTGTCTTTCACATTAGCTTCCATATTGCTAATGAGCTTGCTTTCTCTCTTTCTCTGTATGTGTGTGCAGTATACATTCACACACATAGACAATTATGGTGTGTGTTTATGTTTATAGAGAGGGAAAAAGAGAAAGATGTAGACTATAATATTTTTTTAATACTATCAGGGAATTGGGATCTGCTTGCTGTTCCCATAAGGTCAGCATTTGCTAAATCAATTGAGTATTATCCACACGAATGGGAAAAAAGCAGGCAGGGGAGAGCTCAGCTGCGGACGCTGTGCTTGGAGGTAGGAGACTTGGCCAGTATCCGCACGGCTCCCGTTGCCAGACGGCTGCGGTGCCGTCCCAGCTCCCTGGACAAAGTGCTCTTGCTGGGCTCATACTGCAGGGGCGGAGTGCTCGGCTCGGACATCTGCAAGCCTTGCTTGTGCCACGGGCCAGGGCCACTGCTGCTGACTGGGGCCATCTCCAGGCCTCCTACTTGATGCTGAAGGAAAAGGTTTCATCAGCGTTTCTTTATGTCAGATGCATCTTATAGCAAATGCCCTTGGGAGAGACTCTCAAAGGGTAGGGAATGCACAGGCCAAGAAAATGGTTTAAACCAATTTCTTTACTTCACATTTGCAATGAAATTGGAGCACATCTGCTGTGTCTCAGCCACGTGGTGGTTTTCACCACGGAGGGGACTGTTTCTTACGGAGCACTACCTCCTTTCTCTTATCTATCTCACAACTTTTGATCATGCAGAAAGATGAGGGAAAGCCTCCCACAGCAAACTGGTATCCTTTATCCTGAATGTCTTGAGCTCGTGATGCTGACAGAGGTTCAGCTGTGCATTTCCACACAAGCAGTGCTAGCCCTGCACAAAGCTATCATCCCAACGGCACGGGCCCAGGTCACACCAGCACAGCCTCTCAGATCGAATACTGTCCCTGGCAGTGGGGCTCAAGGGGAGCAGGGGGAGGAGAGGGAGAAATAAGTAACGTGTGAGAAAGAGACTGATGAAGAAGAGGGTGAGAAGCAATCTGTGGAGGATGAAGAGCGATGGACGAAGCAGGACAGCTTTAATGAAGATTAAAGAAAACAGAATGGGCCAGATAGGGAAAGGAAAACACAGCAGTTGCTTTGAGATGGTGGATTAATGACGAGGAAATGGGGGCACCACCAAAAGAGACAGAGGTGGTGACACAGAAGACAAAAAGCATTCCTTGTGTCCTGCCATGGCCAGGGTGAGACCCTTGGATGGCTGCAGGGGAACACGGGGTGCCAGAGGGCTGGCCATCAAGAGAGACCTGCAGTGTGAAGAGACCAAATGAGCTGAAAGGCCGTGGGTCAGGGAGGGCAGTATCCACGGACCTGCCCCTGCCCCAAGGGATGACACAGGGGAACCTTCCTCAGCAGCCTGAGACACCCAGAGCTGCGGACAAGCAGTGTACGTCACCCACAGCACCTGCTCAGCACCAGAGCCGTCCGACCGCCTCTGCCCACGGCTGCTAACCTGCCCCTTGTGCTTGGGGTGGGACCCGAGCTGTCCCGAGGCAGCACGGCTGCCCGAGGGCCCCGGGGCGAAGGGGTACGAGGGATTCATCCCAGAAGGTGGCTGGGGGTTTCTCGCTGGGGTTTTGTTTGTTTGTCTGTCTGTTGTTCTGGGCAGCGCATGGCGGAGCGCAACACGGGCTGCGCTCCAGCTGCAGCCTACGGGACCAGCTCTCCGTGGGGAGGGAAGGACATTTTGTTTGCTTGTCTGTTGTTCTGGGCAGCGCATGGCGGAGCGCAACACGGGCTGCGCTCCAGCTGCAGCCTACGGGACCAGCTCTCCGTGGGGAGGGAAGGACAGAGGCTGCTCCTGGCCCAGCACGGGCCCTGCTGCTCCCCGGGACACAGGGGTGCCCCAGAGAAGCTCGCCGGGGCAGGAGGGACCTGCCAGAGGGTACAGAAGGAGGAGGATCTTCCAGCCAGGAGACAGTGGCATTCGCCACCAGGGAACGGGCGCTGTCTATGGAGATCCCCCAGACCATGCAGGGTTCCATGTGCTTTCGCTGTTAACTCCTCACCTGCTGGCCAACGTGTCTCCCCAAAGAACTAGTGCCACCTCCGAGACCACTGTGGGAAACAGCCTCCCAGCTGCTTGACGGAACCCAGCGAGTCCCCTGCTCTCCCTGCATCAGCGACACCCAGACACCAAGGCAGCTAATGCCTAATAATTAACAGATGCCCACTAAGAAGAGAGGGCTTGGGTGAGGAAAGGAGGAAGATGATGAAGGCCATCTGGCTCTAGAGAAACCCCCGTTCTCTACGTACTCACTGGAGATGACAGGGAAGGAAAAAAATAAAAAAAGAGATGATCGTCTCCTTGCCAGGGGTGGTGGAACAGTAATGGTGCCAACTTTGGTCTCAGGAGCTCTGTAAGGCTGTAAGATGGGGCTGGGACAGAATCAGAGGAGCACTGAAGCTGCCGCAGACAGCGAGCAGTGCGGCCAGTCCAGGCCAGCTGGAGAGACCTTGGCAAGGGAAGAGGGCATGGGGGAAAAGCAGAGGACAGCAAGAAAGGGGGAAAGCATGAAAACGGGATGAGAAACAAACAACTGGAGAAGGAGAGTTTGGGGAAAAGAGCTGGAAGGAGAGAAGAGAGGGACAGAAGGCAGGCATGGCAGCATGGAAAAACAGAGAGGGGAATGTGTGGAAGAAAGGAGTGGGATCAAGGGCTAGACAAGCAAGGAAAAACACTGTGAGGGATCTGGACAGGGGCTCTTTGCTTGCCCATCTGGGGGGCGAAGGATCATGCTCGGTGGTCACACCTCCATTTGGTAGGATTGCTTCCAGACCTGCAGCCCTCTCCATCCCACCCACAGCTGCCGCACGCTGGCGCAGGTCGGGCCTCTTAATCAAGTGCAGGCTCAGTGCTAATAAGTGACTTTAAACAGGTCTGTCATTTTTGGATTTGGGAATGGGGTGGGGGCTGAAGGGAACAGAGAAAGTGGGAAATAAATTTACATATGATTAACACTGAAGTTCTTGCAGTATTTGCAGGAAGGGGAGGAGGCCAGGCGCTGGGGAAGGATGACCTCGAGCTCTGCTGGTCCCTCCTGGAGTAACAGTGACCTCCTGTGGCTGGACTTGTCCCAGGGGGATGATTTGTCCCTCCAGTTTGCAAAGCCACACAGGGACCCCAAAGGGCTTTGGCCGCTCCTTGTCCACAGGAGGAACTCTGAGCCACTGTGACACAGGGCTGCTCATGGCCTTGCCCTCATGCCCCTAAAATGGGGGAACACAGGGCTGCTCATGGCCTTGCCCTCACGCTGCTGAAAGTGGGGAGATGCAGGTCCACGAGGCCAGGTGGAAAAAAGGGAGCTGTGGGTAGCAGGCAGGAAGACTTGACAGCTCCATCACTGTCCCTGACACTATTGAGAAGTGTTCCCCACCAAACGCTCCCAGGAAGACTGCCCTGTTCTAGGAAACTCAGTGTTTACACAGAGACGGAGGAAGGCAGACTTAAGAGGTGACTAAGGCAGGAACACAGCGACAGAACTGGCTCCATCGCCAGCTCACTCACCTCCCTGGTGTCGTTGTCCTGGATGAGGGCGTACAGGGGCACCACGCGGTTGATCTCCAGCAGCACCGGCGTGGGGCTGAGCTGCTCCTTGCCCGGGCGCCGGCACAAGTGGCAGGTAGATGGGCAGCGCCCCTTCTCCTCACAGTGGATCTCCACACCTGAGATGAGGTGGTCGTCAGAGAGCATCTGTGCTGTCAGCAGGCCCGAGAGGTAGGTGATGAATGGCATGGATTTCAATTCCTTCTTGTTCCCAAGCTCAGTTGTTTCTGGTTTGGTGACAGGGAGAGGAAAGAAAATAAACAGCATAAAATAAATCTCAGCACAGAGCACTTCCCAAACCCAAACTTCACTGCAGCCAGGATAAATGCAGCTGCTGACGGTGTAGGCCAGGTGGGAGCAGGAAATCAGAGAAAATCAAGGAGAGAAGTAGAAAAACAGGACTTGCAGGTCACTGCTTGGGAGTGGGTATAAAGTGTAAGCATTTCCAACTTCTAAAGCGACAGAGTTGGCCATATTTTTTTCTTTCTTTTTGTAATCTGCACATTCACTGTTTGCATTTTGAGATGAAATAAAACATTGCACATTCACTTTGTAATCTGCACATTTGCATTTTGAGATGAAATAAAACACCCAAGCACATCTTCTCGACCAAAGAAAACCCTTTCCGAACTCCAAGGAACGGCAGTGTTCCAGTGCAGAGACAATTCTGATCCTTCACCACAGAGCCTGGAGCAGGTGCTGGGAGGCTCAGCAGATACTGTGCTGTGTTCCTAGATACGCTCGTGGAAGGAGCTGTGGAGAAGTTTTGCTGTTATTAATGGTAATTAACATTTAGCTTTTAGGAAACAGTCAGACCTTTGAAATCCATTGTGAAACGTCATCATATATCTCAAGGAGATAAATTGGGAGAGCCTTACTTGTTCTTCCTTAGCTCAAACACTTGCTAAGGTCAAGGAAAAGCATTGAGCTCCAGGATACACTGAGAAGAGGAGCCAGGCATCCCATCTTTATACTGTGCACTCCTATTTAAACTCCGGGTCCGTAGACACTCCTCTTGGGTTGATCCAAGAGGAAAGCCCCAACCTTCCCAGCCTAGTGATGGGCCTGCAGAAGAGAAAGCTGCCCCGTCCTGTGCCCAAGCAAGGCTCGCAGCACTGTGAGATGGACGCGTGGACAGAGGGTTGTTGCCTTCAGCTACTTCCCAGTCCAAAGAAGGAGCTGTACAAGAACAAAAACCGCCTCAATGGCCTCAGCTTGCAGTGACACGCAGTTGATGTGGCAAGGAGCATGTCAGTTAGAAATACAAATAAACACACTATTCATTCATTATTCTCTAAGCCCTTCAGGCCAGGGACAGCCCGTCGCCCTCCCTCTGGCTGTCAGGGAACACTCATGTGCACAGAATCAAAGCTG